AGACTTTTATACATATATAATATCATGTACTCACCACAAGACCCAGGACGTCCACCAGAGTGGTCATCAGCGGCGCAGAAACTACTGCGGCATCCAGTCCAAGGTACATGCATAGGAACGGGAGTGTGGATGCCAGCCCAGACGCAGTAACCGACAGTACAGGTAGTGTAGCGAACACCACCACAGATACAGGCTCACTCACACCCATCAGGAAACTCGTCGCAAAGGCCGATAGGAAGCCCAGGGCACAGCCCACCAGCAGACCTGTGCGGATAGAGGTGCTTGCGTTAGTTGCTATGGTATGAGTGTGAGGTAGACTCCTTTTAGTTGATGTGTATGAAGTAATGGGTGTGAGATAGTGTAGTGAGTATTTCCCGATATACAGATGGTATTTTTATGGGTATATATTTACGCATGCACCTTGATGTTGATCTGACAAACCGCGGAGTTTACCCAATTTCACAATGAAATGAAAAACGGTTTAAAGACGAAACTAAAGTTATGACAAAGCAGCGAAAACAAGAATACACAAGTTCAAGAAAGCCTGCTTGCGCATATCAAAGTGTGTAATTTGTACTTTGAATGAGGACAGGCCGTTAAGAAAAGGGGGTTCGTATGGGAAGTGGGTGGATCATTCATACTGTGTGTGCACATATCAACGTATACAAGTTATATTTAATAGTCAGAGCTGGCCGTTAAGAGCATTCAATTTCGCATGAGAAGTGAGTGGAACCTACATGATGTGCGTGTACAAGACATTAAATAGTGCAGGTTAGAATATGTGTATATGCGTGGGAGATATATGTGTGCCCGTTTAAGTATATGTAAATGTATTCACATACACGTTCGTAACCGGGTAGGCCGTTTATATCACCACCGAGAGTATAATTGTGACAATTGTACGTATATATACAGATACTTTAATAAAAGGGTTCTTGCTTTAACTACAAGTTGGACAAAGTGTCGGCTTGTAAACAATGCCACCTTACAACCAGACATGACAGAGCACTTCCATTTAAAGAGTCTATACCCATGCACATATGTTACAATACACAACCATGCAACATCTCCACAGCTTAATACATATACATAGACATCCCATACCGGATATGGACTCCTTCAATAGTACGGACAGCATGTCTTTTCGCTTTATTTTTTGGGATGAAAGCGCCGACAAGACTGTGCCAACTGTCTGCCCCCCCACATTACCGCCATGGCCAATCATCAGGGGCACAAAGAAGGCCAGCTCAATCTGCGACGCTAGGATGTGTTCGAAACTGAACCAGACATATGTACAATATAAGCGAGTTTAAGACATGAGTACAATATGGGTTTAAAACGTACGTACAATGCAAGTGTGTTTAAACCATGCATACAATATAAGTGAGTTTAAAACACGCGTACCATATGAGTGGGTTTAAGACATGCGTTTAATACACGTGATTTTGCGATATAACACGGGGTGTGCAAAGGACGCGAATGTGGCACAAAAGAAAGCCAGCTCAGTCTGTGACGCTGAGACGTGTCCACAACTGACCATCGGAACTACTTTCAGGACAGCATCTGTATATAAACCAAACTAAATTAAAACTACACCACACATGTAGGTACACAACCCTAACCACACCTCAGTACATGGACGGTAACTACCTGAGGTTATCACCTGTTCATGCAAAACGGAGCTAAAACTACACCACAATTGTACGTGCTGAACCCTCACAGCACCTCAGTACATGAACGGTAACTACCTGGGGCTATCACATGTTCCTGCAAGTCTAAGCTAAAACTACACCACACGTGTACATGCACAACCCTCATAGCACCTCAGTACATGAACGGTAACTACCTGAGACACATACACACCTCTCCATGACCACCGCAGTGAGGGCCAGAGACGCCAGAAACAGCGACAGCCACAGAATCCTAGTACCCGCCAGGTGAACGGCGCTTATCCTTTTGTAACTGACATCTAACAGAGGGATATCGTGCCCGTGGCCGTGTCCTATACTACTACCAATGGGACTGTCCGTATCCTCGTCTGAGATGATGGTTTCGTGATCGTGTGAGTTGCTAAGCAACGCTTCGTTGTATTTATCCTGCTCGCACCTGCATCTACTGCGGAGAGAAGGACGGTCGGGTGTAAAAAGGAAATTAATGACAGTGGTAACAAGTGTCAGTATGCCCAATTCGCTAGGGTATATATATATATATATATATAACTACATATGTTCACACACATATATATATATATACATAATAAAACATATGTTCACACACACACATATGTATATATATATATATA